GAATCGGAGGGGACTCGGCGTGCGGCAGCCACAGCTGGTGGTGGAGAATCTCTCCGGCGGAAGGAGAAAAAACCCTAATTAGTAATTGGGTGTACTGAATTATGTGGGAGATGTAATATATGGGCTACTTGGTGAACTGACAGAAACATATAGATCCTGAGGGAAATATAAGGATGTTTTTTTCTTTGTTGTTAAAAGTTTGTTAGAGAGAGAGAGAGAGATGTGAGGCATTGGTGTTGGATTTGGGAGCTTCTCTAGAAAGTGCTTTTGTTTTCTGTACAGTATCTGCAGTCATTAATGTCTTCGCCCACTATTCTCTCTCCTCCTCCTCTTCTCCCTTTTTTCCTTTTTCTTCTCTCTCTTTCTCTCTCTAAGAATCTTGTGCCTCAAGTCCAACGAATTATTTAGGCTATTGTTCCATGTGACTGTTCTCTTTTTTTTTACCAAAGAACTCATTCCGGCGTAACACTGTAATCAGTTCAGAACTCAGACACAAAACCTTGTGGGTAGATGATATCACAAGTTCCTGCAAGTCTTTGTCATAATGTCATCCCCAAGATCTTATGAGATTGGTTAATTTATTTTTAATCTTTTATATATAGATCGAAGAAGTTTTTTTAATTCAACGATACATGAGGTAAATATTTGAAACATATATGTCTTAATTAGTTGAACTATATGTGTTCAGATTTACCGTGGTAGAAGTTTCTTTATGGTTTATTGTTCTTTTCTTAAAGAATATTACGTCTCAAATACTCCTGAAAATTTCAACTTGTAATCTTTAAGTAAGCTGTGTAGAGATGTTTTTACGACGATCATTGAACTATACTTAATAAGTTAGAACGTAAGAATTCAACGCTTAGTACAAGGTATGTGTGAAGTGACAATATGCTTCAGTTAGACGTAAGAATTTGACGCTGAGTACAAGGTAGGGGCGAAGTGACAAAATTAAGTTTGAATTAGATAAACACAAAGAAAATAGAGCGGAAACTTTGGTAAAAGAGAAAAACGGGGTGTGCAGGTTCGATCTTGTAGCACATCTCCAAAAGCCCTAATTCTAAACAATTTTCTACTTTTTTTTCCTCTCAAGCTAGTTCATATTAGGTCGAAAGAAATTAATTCATTTTCCTTTTCCTAAAGTACGATACGTTGTCAAACTCACGACCTTTTGATTAGATTATACAGATATCTTAACTAATTGAGGCTCAAGACCAGTATTGAAATATTTTAAAATTCTAGCCAGAACTAAATTGAGATCAAGTTCAAATGTCCATAAAAGTTAAAATGGTAACTTAACCTTATTAACAATCTTAAATTTGGACTAACTATATAATTTAGTCTCTAAATTTACATCGCCTTTCATATATTGAATTTATAATTCAACTAAATTTGAATTTGTGTCATTTCCAATTTCACATCCTTTTGCTTTTTTTGTAATTTAAAATTAAAAGAATGATGGTTCAAAGCTTGAACACAAAAGAGGAAAATTTTCCAACAAATGGCAACAAAATGTGATGGGGCATCAAGTTACATTTAATTAATCTTACTTCCTTAGATGAAGATGATGAATGATTCAACTTGACACTTTTTTTATATATAATCTAAAATTATATTTGATCTATGAAAAAAATAGCAAAGCGCGGCTTTGACATTTAGAGATGCATAGAGAAAAATGAGAGTTTAAATGTCAATGTGTCACACATTACATTATAAAATTACGACTTTGTAAAATTTTTTACATATAAAAAAAATTATAATTTAAACGTTAGGATCCGAAATTGTGATTTATATTAATGTCTTGACTTGAGTTATATTCATCAATTAATTATCTTTTTTTTTTCTAGCAAATACAACAACATCATGTGGGAGTGAGTATTCAAACTCAAAATCTTTTAATCAGAATAGTGCATTAATCCATTGAACTGACAATTATATATTTAAACTTATAACATTTTTTAACTAAATGATAACTTTTATAAATAAAATTTAAAAAACTAAATTTGAATTTTGGTCATGCATCAACTTCTCATTAATGGCTTTAACAAACAAACAAAAAATTGTCAAATTGGTCCCCAAGCTAAATGGTGATGTGGCAATGATGTGGCTATCTTATTAGAATTTAATATTATTTTTTTGCTTTCGAAACTTTTGTTGTGTGCTTATTTGGCATCTTTCTCTCCTCTCTCTAGTCTCTCTAGCTAGCTGTTAGATTCTCTCTCCTCTAGAAATGAATTTTTGTCTAAGAACCCTATGCTCAGTCAAGTCCCTATAATTTTCAAGGTTGAAAACTTTGAAATTTGTCATTGGTGTGGCTGTAGTTTTCAAGTCATTTATTATAAATTTTAAATATAATTGTTGCACTAAATAAATATATAATAATTATGAGAAAATAATATATATTGGGTATATTTTAACTGTAAAATTATTTTATTGACATGTTTAGTCATTATGAAATGATTTAGTAAGTAATCAATGATATAAGTTTTCTAAAATTATTCATACTTAAGTAGGTAAGTAATCAATGTTATTAGATAAGTAGGTATGATAATATTTGACATAGATATATTTTTTTTAATAATTTGGTATCGATAGCTTTTTATCTTTTTTACCCAGATCCAAAATTCGGACATGAGACCTTAAGGTAGATGATGCAACACGATACCATGTTTTTGCCAATGAAGCTAGAGGAGTAATATTTGACCAAGTTTAGTCAAAGACCATTTTCATTTTCTTAAATTTCTATATTCTAACACATCAAAAATAATTAAAGCGGTGTTCATTTTCATTTTATTTTTTATTTTTTATTTTTTATTTTTAAAAGATAATCTTAGAAACATTAATACTATGTGTTCATTTGTTTTGTTATATAGTTTTTTATAAACATTTTCAAAAAGTCAAATTAAAAAATAAAAAAAAATGTAGTTTTAAAAAACTTTGTTGAAAAAAATTACTTAGAATTCAAATATTTTTTCAAGAGAGGCGAAAAACTTAAAAATGAGATTGTAAAAAATAAACATTATTTTTAAAATAACAGGAAATTAAAAATAAAATAGTTATCAAATGTCACCTTAATAATTATTTGACAATGAGAATCATAATATTCGGGTTACTCTATCGATCTATATAATCATTAGCATGATGGTAATATAATATTGAGAATGACGGTTGTTAAGGAAAATATAAGAGACTTAACAAAATTTTATAATATAAGTGAGCTACTGGTATGGTATAAGAGTCCAAAAACTTATCCCGGCAAAAAATGGGAGAGGCACCATCCTGAGGAGCATTTTAAGGATCGTTCATTAAAAATGTCATGCAAAGGAAGTCTAAATTTATATCCTTCCTTAAACGAGTTTTTATATGTTCCACCACTTGAAATTTTTTGAGGATTTCAAAAATTATGGTTCGACTTTTTTTCTATGTTACCTTAGGGTCTGTTTGGAGTGATTTTGGAAGGGTCAAAATCACTTTTTCCATTGTCAAAATCACTTTCCCTTCCACTAATCATATTTGGCAAATTAAAATTTTGATTTTAGGAAGTTTAAAATCACTTTAGTTAAATTGATTTTTAGGGCATCACTTGGATGATGATTTTGAAAAATCAATTATTCTCAAATCTCTTTTTTCAAAATCACTAATTCTACCATCACTCTCAAACACACTCTAAAGCTATTCATTCTTTGTATACAAAAATCGTGTCTTCCCATTTTCCCTTCATCCTCTTTGAGTTTTGCA